TGTTTTTTTAAACTTGAGATTGGAGTGCAAAAAAGTGGAATTCAAATTCAAGGGAGTGGTTTTTAAAATGTATCCTATCTCATAGAATATTCTTCAAAAATTATTTTTAAGTTTATTCTAAAAAGCTTAGAGCATCACTTTATACATAAATAAAACCACTACTGATCTGAAATTACCAAAATGCAATGGTTCCAGAGAATGGTAGACTCATCAGACTCATTGTATAGACAGAACTTTAAATTTTGCAAGGAAATCGAGATACTAAAGGCCATGTCATAGCCTATGCCGGTATCACAGCTGTTATTCAGAACATTTAGAGGCAAAGTTCATGGATCCTGATACATACTCCTATCCTCATGGTGCATGCGATAAACTCCAATTTACTTGATACTCATGCATTTTATCTGGTGAACCATTACTATCTGGATAGGAGAGTCACTAGAAGATTACATCTTTCTGCATACAGAACCCTGCAGAAACTCACATACCTACCCCACCAAACATCTTGCCCAAAGCTACAGTCCCACTGTGCCAAGCCCATACCCTTACAACGGGGATGAACTTTGTATCTTCTCCCCCCCACACAATAGAACCTAATTTGGTGGCTGTTGGCTTCACTTCATGAATCCCAACCTGTAAACCCAGTTTTTACTTGCTGATCTCAGAGGAGACTGTTTCCTTCCCAATCTACAGCACCCTTAGTAACCTACCTGTGACTCCAATGACCAGGATGCTAAGGACACAAAGTCCTGTTCATAACCATGATCAATCTAGACACATGATGAAGGAGTTTCAGCAAAATCAAATGCTTTTAAGAAACATCAACCAGCTAACATCAAGACTAAGCAATTGGGCACAGTGGCTCATGCCTGTAACCTCAGAGCCTTGAGAGACTGAGGCAGGAGGATCACAGTTCAAAGCCTGCCTCAGCAACTTAGAGAAGTCCAAAGCAAATGAGTGAGACCCTGTCTCAAAATTAAAAAAAATAAGAAGGGCTGGGGAGGTGGCTCAGTGGTTAAGCACCCCTGGGTTCAATCCTTGGTATAAGAATATATAAATAGATAGAAAGAGAAAAAATTTAAAAAGACTAAGTGGTGCCCAGTGAAACTGAATAAATGGAAATTGCATCATTGTCTGTGTGTCTGACACACACACACACACACACACACGCTGCTACTCCCAGGGCTCCCTGTGGGCTTGTACCCGAAGATAGCTAGATGGCAAATGACTTGCTGATATTGTCCCTACAGGGCAGGTTTCCAGGAGCTGCTGGGGAGCAGATCCACAGAGGAAATTGGAAAACATCCTGTCGATGGGCGCAAGGCCATAAATGCTGGTGATTTCAGGGGCGATCTTGTTGATTACACTCAGTGAAGTGTGCACACTGTTCCCTAATTAGGATTATCACTTTAAAATTCAAAGGCATGCAGAACACTTGACATCCCTCCCCACCCTCCCTGGACCTTGGGGGGCTCCGTGTATGGTTCTGGTGCACAGCATGGCCACCGTGCATCCAGCACTGGACCCCAATCCAGACCATGCCAGTCGCTAATCCAGCTCCACTCCCCAGCCTCATTTCTATGCACCCCAGGAAAGGGTAGGTAGCTCCGGGGGAGCTATTAGGGGCATGAGCACACCTTGCTTTCTCTTTCTGATGATAGCATCGCTAACCTCACACTGACACAGGCAAACCTACCCAGGAAGGGAAAAGAAATTTAGTATAAATTGACATCTTCTATAGGAGGAGAACACATTCCAAGTGGGGTTCGTTTTGAAACAAAAAGCCCCAGCTACTAATAGATGTGCAGGGGCTCAGATAATCATCCCTAGGCTTTGTCACCTCGGAACAAGGGAGCACAATCATCAAAGTCACGGCCAACTTACCGAGGACAGTGACTTGCGTCATCTCGGTCACGCTATCCAGAGCAGTTTGAGCCCAACAGGAGTAAATGCCTTGGTCCTCCAAAGTGACATTAGAAATGGTCAGATTGGCTCCGTCAATAATTATCCTACCAGGGAGGAGAAGAGAGTATCCGATGAGAATGAATTAACAGAAACGATAGAAACAGAAGCCTTGGAAGGGCACATACTACCCATGGATGATGATTCTAAAGATGGAGGAAAAACAGTTCCACAAACTGCAGACATCAGGATTCTGAGAAGGCCAGAGATGAAATGCTAGAGGTCAGGTATTATTGGAGCATACAGAGATGTCCACATAGCCATCAAAGGGATCACGTTTCTTTTTACGTCTGTATGTGTATGTGTATGTTAGCATCTTATTTTACTTTTTTATTTTTTAGTTTTTAAAATTGGTGCATTATGATTATTTATAACTGTGGGACTTGGGGGTCACATATTTGCACATGTGCACAATTGAACAGTATATTTTGGCTGATTTCTTAGTACCACTGCTCTTCTTCCCCCTCCTTCTGGGCAGCCCCCCTTGGTCTCCTCTACTGATGTCCCTTATGTCCCTTTGATTTCCATGAGATTCCCACACATGGGGGGGGTGGGGAGAGGAAGCATTTTTTTCTCTAGTTTCCACATAAGAGAAAACACATGACCCTCAGCCTTCTGAGTGGCTCACTTTGGTTCACATAAGTAAAAACTTAGGATTACCTACCATCTGGGACGCAGGGGTCAGGACGGGACCAAGGTGTATTGGATGATTCTCGCTACATGACCTGGGAACCCTACACAGCATCAACCTCTGGATGTGGCTTCCAGAGGCAGATTCCTGAATCCCACCTGGTTAGGGACCAGAACAACTGACACAGAGTCTAAAAATAAACCTCTGGTTTTGACAAGCTTCCATTTTCTCTCCCGGCTCTGTCTCCAGGTGGAATCCTACTGAAATCTGGTAACGATTAAACAATGGGACTTGTGTGGACAGTAGGTGGCAGTCTAAGACTTCTTTCTAAAACTCATTTCAACCAGCGTTTTCTTCTTCCGTTTTTGCCAAATTTGTAGCAGAGTTTTTACTACTTATATTTTTTTTTAGCTTTGTCTTTATAATTTACAAAGAGAATTAATTCTTTATAATACCTTTTACCCTATACCTATGTATTTTCAGCATAATTTTTATATTTTTTTTTTAAAAATTCCATTAAATTCAGAATATACTCGTGGCAGTGGGTATTTAGTTGAAATAATGTTGTGTCCTTCTTAGGCAAAGGGTGACTCTTCCTGAAAATTCTAATGGAACACTCATAAACTGTTGGACTTTGAATTGTAGGAATCTATTTCAAAGTGTAGTCAAAAGTTCTGCCTTTTTTTTTAAAACTTTGTTTATTGATTTTTATTTTTTAGTTGTCAATGGACCTTTATTTTATTTATTCATATGCAGCGCTGAGATTTGAACCCAGGTCTCACACATGCTAAGCAAGTGCTCTACCACTGAGCCACAATCCCAGCCCCAAAAGTTCTGCCTTTTGATTATAGACAATAAGCCTCACACCTACACCAATAATTTCACAATTTGCCCATCAATACTACCTGATCTGGTTGATTAAAAGTCAGCTAGAGATATAGCTCAGAGGTAGAGCTCTTGGCTACTGTGCATGAAGCCCTGGGGTCAATACCCGCACTGCAAACAGTAACAACAAAATTCTGACTAAAATTCTAGACAAAATAAAACTTTGACATAAATTATCTATATGATACAGTGTCATAATACTGCATGTACCTACAATGCCGGACAAGGTCACTCACTTAGATGAGGAAAGCACTCTGATATTAAACTTCTTCAAATGAGGCTTTAATACCCTTATGAAGCTATTTATCCACAAGGGCCAGTGGGAGCTGAATTTTTTTGGGGGGACAGTATTGTGCCCCAGCATAGATTTACTTCATGTCAGAAAGGGTCATTTTTTTTTTTTTTTTGGTAATTCGTTGCTAAGTTATGCAGTTTTTTTCATATCATGAGTATTCTGTAGTCTCCTCAACTTAATCAAGATACAGTGATCTTAAAATTAGGTGGTGGGTGTGAACCTAAGAAGATTGTCATGAATTTCATGCCCTAGCCTCAGTCTACATTTCAAATCAGAATATTTGAAGGTGGGACAAGGGTCATTTGATCATGAAGTGCGAGTAATTCTGACCTGACGTACATCAAAATCTGAGAAGAATGTGCTGTAGCAAGGATATGCTATATTTTGCTGCAGTGACAAACAGTTTCAAATTCTCAGTGCCTGAGACTACAACATATTTTCTTTGCAGTTTTTGTTCCTATCATAGGTCAGCTGAATTTTGCTGCTCAAAGAACTTCTGTCTCTGTGCTTCTGGATTCCTTCCTCTGCTTGTCTTACCTGCCTGACTACGACACCTGGGTAGCCTGCTCACTGGAAAACCTCCCACCCCTCCATGTGCATTGCCCAGTTGTATCATCCCCAGTCCACGTCAGCCTTCCCTTCATGCACTTGCCACATTTCACTGAGGACAGAATGACAAAGTGATGACTTGGAGAGATGCAGTGGAGGCCCATCAATTCTTACTTATATATTTTTAAACAAAAAAAGTGAGCCCAGTTCAGCTGATCTGAAAAATGGGGATACCAATATTTTCTTTCTTTTTAGAAGTACAAATCGTATGAACTGATTTGTGCACACAGCCTGAGAGAAAAAGTGCTCAAAGGGAATAACTAAGAACACTTTAAACTTAGCTTATCTTTGTGATTATCACCCTGCATGGTGGGGCACCCCTGTAATCCCAGCGGCTCAGGAGGCTGAGACAGGAGGATCGTGAGTTCAAAGCCAGTCATGGCAAAATCGAGGTGCTAAGCAATTCAGTGAGACCCTGTCTCTAAATAAAATACAGAATAGGGCTGGGGAGGTGGCTCAGTGGTTGAGTGCCCCTGAGTTCAATCCCTGGTACCATAAAACTCCAACTCCTCCCTGGGCAGCACTTATCCCCTCTGCCCTGCACACCCCTGAGGTCCCTCTTGAGCTCAGGCTATTGTCCCCACTGCCTGTTAAGAGAACACTGGGCTATCTGCAACACTTGCTCAGTCCACTGGATAGCCAGTGGTCCCCCTGAGTGACAATCTCAGCATCTTGAAGAGACAGTACAACCCAGTCACCCTGAAAGCCTGGCTTAGAGATGCAGGGGTCACACCGTCAGTGTGTGCATGTCACATCCCTGATGAAGCGTGGTCTCCAATTCTCTTTCTGGCAGCAGCCCAGAGATCCCATGGAAGAACCAAGGTCACTGGGTAATTTTGACAAGAGAGAGAATTCGGGCTGATTTCCGAAGTTGACAGGTTGACTGAGACCTAATGTGAGGGTCAAGCTGTCTGTGGCGGCAGCGGGGTGGCTCTGTAGAGTTTGTCGGTTCTTGCTTCAGTGGCAATGAATTGCAATGTTTACACTATCTTCCTACAAGTCTGCACATATAGGACGGAGACGGGGAAGCAGATGAGTTGCTAGGGCGGAGGCCAGCGCCTTCACAGAAAGGTGACGCCTGAACACACGTGCACGCTCACACACGTGCATGCACACAAATGCACACATATCACACATGCACTCACATGTACATGCTTGTGTGCGCACACACACACACACACACACACACACCAATACCAATAGAGGATATGCAAGTTACAGAAACAAACAAAGAAGAAGCCTGGGGAAATGAACAGTACCAATAATAACTATCAAAGGGGTCCACAGTGCTATTTTCTAAGTGCTTGGTAAGTTCACTCACAATCACCCTACGATGAAGGTTGACCCTTAGTGTTTTTCATCAAGCCACGTTCTAGAATGTGGAGTGCAGGCAACACAGATGGAAAGCCATCGGTGACACAGCACAGCTGGGATTCAAAGCCAAGTCACCCACTGGAGTCCATGCTTTTTATTGTGATTCTGCTATGGTCTCACGGGAACATAGCAGAATCCCATTGAAAGACTTTTCAGAGTCTTAAATAACAAAATCTGACTTAGGATAGATTTGGCTCCAAGATGGTAGCTTTTTAACCCTTGCTTAAGTGACAGTGCAAAAGGGACTCAAAGTCACCTTCCACAGGTTCTCAAGGGACAGGGCGGGCATCCTGATTCTTTTGATTCTGATTCTGATGGATTCTTTTCCTCTTCAGTGTTATTAACATTCTCTGGTGCTACCTGGCATCTCTGTATACTCCCTTGCCTTCTACAGTTCCCCTGTGCAGAATACTCTAAAATACAACACCAGGACTCCACTCCCATCGGATTCTTCATTCATTGATTCAAACCATTGTGGATTGAAAACATTTTTACAAAACGTTCATCTGCACTGAATATATAAGGTTCTTGTTTGTTATTCCCCCGAACAGCACTGTATAGTGGCTATTTACTTGATGTTTACATTGTATCAAATGTTACAAATAATTTAAAGATGATTGATAGTGTAAGATGTGAAGTTCAAAGTTTAAGGACCCTGGCTTGAAAGGGAGATTAGAGGCAGCACTGTACCATTTTATATAGAAGGCATGAGCATTAACAGATTTTGGTATCTGGAGGGGGTCTTGGAACCAATCTCCCCCAAGGATACCATGGAAGGACTGTAGTTGCTAAGTACTTTCTAGCAACAAGAATTCCAGTACTGAAATTTTGCCAGCAAAAAGTTCTCCTAGGAATCTGGGAGGCAGAAGGGGAATGGTCACCATCTTTCTCTGAAGCAAGGTGAGCAGACAGTGGCTGTGGCAAACATGGTAGTGGGCAGTGGCTGGGCTCTGCAGGGGCCCCCAAGGGGGTGAGGTGGCTATGGAGAGAGCAGCAAGTTCCAGGTATCTAGATCACAATTGCAGTGCCCACTCGGCCCAGCTCCTGCCGCGTCCCCAGTGGTCTCAAAAGCACCTATGCCAATGCAACCCATCGGGGTGGGCTACCTGGAGTGAATTCTGGTTCAGGCACTACAAGGATGGTACATGTCATGTGACAAGTCATTCCTAAAAACAAGAATGTAAAAATGATGGAAAAGACAAACAAGGGTCCTCTGACCTTTTAACTAAAGACTTGAACCCTGAACTGTGTAAATTGACTGTGAATTAAACTCTTTTTCTCCTAATACAAAGAATTCAGCCCACACATAGACGATGGCCCTTCAGAGACTTGACCCACCTTCCATCTTCTGTGCCGTTAAACTCGAAGGCTTCCCCATCTTTGCTCCAGGACAGCCTCAAGCTGTGCTTCAAGTGTGAGTCGCATACGCTCTCGCAGTGTAACTCGAGCACGTGCGATCGGGGGACACGGGGATTCTTAGGAGAAACTCGGAGTTTTGTAGCATCTGTTTTCACCAAACAAAGACATGAGTTAGATATGGAGAGCTCAGCTGACCTTGGGATCCATGACCTGCATTTTAATCAGCCCCAAATTGTCAACATCACTGTCAAACCCTCATGCGATGCTTGTGTCATATCATCTGACATCATACACATCATTAGTGTTTTCTTTCTGTGCAGGCCTGGACCTCTGAAAAAAATGTGGGGGAAAGTGCCATTCAATAGCTTGACAGTTTTTCTTACCATTTCTTGGGCAAAGGGGGTAAGAAAAGTGTAAGCCAACAAAGGCTTCTAGAAGTTGCAAATAACACAATTTTTTTTTCTAGGGCCTTTGGATGCATCATGCAGTAAAATGGAAAGTTATTTGATATTCTATTGGCATGCTTATTATTGATTCAGAAACCTGAGGCTAAGTTCAAAAGACCATGCACACGTGACTACCAACACGGACATGGGGAATTGGAAATTGAGCCCTACAAAGGTCAAGTCTGAGGCTGTTTTATTACACAGTGGACCATGGGAGCCCAGCAGGGAGTCTATGCAAATTAGGTATTTGATACATTCTGGAATGTCTTGTTGAATGCATAACAGTGGATGGTAGTTTAAAACAAAAATAAATTAATAGTATCAACAATAGAAAGCTTAAAGATTGATATTATGGCTGTCTTGAAAAATAGCTGCTTCTTCAGTATGGAGATTCTTTGGAAATCTGGGAATGGAACCACCATTTGACCCAGCTATCCCTCTCCTTGGTCTATACCCAAAGGACTTAAAATCAGCACACTACAGGGACACAGCCACATCAATGTTTATAGCAGCTCAATTCACAATAGCTAAACTGTGGAGCCAACCTAGATGCCCTTCAGTAGATGAATGAATAAAAAATGAATGGATTAAAAAATGTGGCATATCTACATAATGGAATTTTACTCAGCAATAAAAGAGAATAAAATCATGGCATTTGCAGGTAAATGGATGGTGTTGGAGAAGATAATGCTAAGTGAAGTTAGCCAATCCAAAAAAAAAACAAATGTGGAATGTTTTCTCTGATATAAGGAGGCTGACTCATAGTGGGGTAGGGAGGGGGAGCATGGGAGGATTAGATGAACTCTAGATAGGGCAGAGGGGTGGGAGGGGAAGGGTAGGGCATGGGGTTAGCAAGGATGGTGGAATGTGATGGACATCATTATCCAAAGTATGAAGACACGAATTGGTGTCAACCTACTTTATATACAACCAGAGATATGAACAATTGTGCTCTATATGTGTAATAAGAATTGTAATGCATTCTGCTGTCATTTATTTTTTTTAAATCAAGAAAAAATAAATATTAAAAAAAATAGTTGCTTCTCTATGGATTGCTTTAAAACACAGTCTTAGGGCTGGGGATACAGTTCAGTTGGTAGAGTGCTTGCCTCACATGCACAAGGCCCTGAGATCAAGCCCCTTCTCACAAAAAAATAAAGAAAAAAAAAAAAACAGTCTTCACTCTTTAATGACAAATTGAAAGAGATACACTTTTAATACGGCACTTGGTGCTTGGGAATCCTATTGGAGGAAAAAACAAATCTCATGAACTGACCTCCAACTCTACAACTGTGTCTCACATTCACTATCAACAAGTTTCTCAAGGAAATAATTTTTCAAAAAGGTAAAAGTGTTAATAAAATTGATTATTCCATGTCTCAGGCACAAAACTTGAAGTGATAATTAAACTGATTAAATATCAAGGATGATTAAATATCTTATCCTAATTCTAAATTCAAAGTAAAAAATAAATCATTTCATAAAAATAGACACCATCGAAGTGATCATCGTATTTCCGGGACTCGGTACATTCACTGTGGCATTTTATAATTACAATAACTATAAATATTAATATTCCCACCTTGCACAAACAATTTCAGGGTGAAATTGAGTGTGAGACCAACGCTTCCTAATTGCTAAGAGAATTGAAGAAAATTTTGAACCCAGCCCAGCAGAGACCAAAACGTACCTTTCCAGCTCCTTCTCTAGTTAGCTTCTTGCTGAACATTCTTTTAAATATACAGAACCATACCCCTGGCCCTGCATTCCTGTGATTTTTACAAAGTCCTTACACATAAAACAGACACAGCACACTGAAAGTTCCTGAGCTTGTCTGGTTACTGGCAGTGCCGAGGCCCACACGTTGGGCAGCAACAATGTTCCTCTGGATTCTAGATCCCCTCTCCTTGACTCTGAACCCTGGCTGATGGCTGACCCTTGACAGAGATTTGCTTTCTGAGGTAGAGAATCAATCATCTTCATTAACTCCTTAGGAGCATCTTAACATTGTACATACTTGGACGCAGGGAGACATCAGAGATGAGCGCACAGTGGGGGAGAATGTTTGCATCATCTAAAAATATAGCCCATGGGCTTGGCAAGTTGGCTAGCTTAGGGCACGGAAAGAGATGCATACTGGAAAATCAAAAGAAGGAATAAGGAAAAAGATAAAGGAGAGAGGGAAGGAGGCCAAGTCGGAGCAGAGGGAGAAGCTAATGCAGTGACATATGATTGGACAGATGATTCCTCTCCTCCAGGCAGAACCAGGTGAGAGGCCATGACATCAGTGTAACACAAGAGCAAATCCCGCTCTCTGTCCCTGTAGGTCCTTTCTAATCTCTGTGTTTTCTCTGAGTAATATTGAAGTCAAAACCCCAGGGACGCCCAAGAGGCTATTCACAAGTTCTCAGGACTTCCATCATGAAGACAGATGGAAGAAAATACTATTTGTGGTTCAAAAAGAAAAAAAAAAAATCCACATTCTGACATTCTTCAATTTTTATGAAAGCACACCTTTTATGAGTTAGTGAAATGTTTATCTGAAAGAACTGATTATCAGTAATACTACCTTGAGTTGACTACTGAAATAAAATATCATTACAGAAATAAATAAAAAATAACATGACATTTCAAAACTTTTAAATATCCAACACCAAGGATACCAAGCTCCCTCTTAAAAATTGTATAAATCCATGTATGTGTTATATTCTGTCATGCTTGTTAAAGTCTTTTCTTTGGGAGGCAGAGTAACAGGGATTGGACTCAGGGGCACTCTGCCACTGAACCACATCCCCAGCTTTATTTTACACTTTATTTAGAGACAGGGTCTTACTGAGTTGCTTAGAGCCTCAATTTTGCTGAGGCTGGCTTTGAAGTGGCAATCCTCCTGCCTCAGCCTCCCGAGCGGCTGATGAAATTGCAAGCCACCACTTTTGAAAAAAGGGTCTAAAGGACTTTGACAGGTGTGCAAACTTAAAATCACGTGGTTTCACTGGAAGACACAATGAAACCCTGTGAGAATTCATGCAAAGGAAAAAGGAAATCAAAATACTTCGAATATCCAAGTTGGCTGTGACTGCGGTTTTTCCTAAAGAGTTTTCTACCCAACAAGAGTAGGACCCCGCATCTTCTTCGGTGGTTCTGTTGATCTGCAACGTGCCGTTCCTGTGGATGTGGTACCGCCTGCCCTGGAGAGGCTGCGCTTCATCTGCCATCTCCCTGTGGAGATACAAAGTTTACGTCAACCCGGGGCGTGACAGAATTGTATACTCTCCTGAGTTTCAGCCCTGATATTATTTGGGCTCAGCTCTGCTTCAGGAGCTCAGCAGACCTTTGGAATATCCTACTGGGGTTGACATTTTTTTTCCCTTGGAATTGCCCACAGATACCTATCTTATCTGCCTAGATAGCCTGTGGCTAAAGGAAATCGGATCTCTGTTCTACGCCTCTGCCTTTCTCAAAGCTATCAGTACTGCTTTCCCTCTGTCCTCAGAGCTTAATAAATATTTTCTGGCTAATTGATGGAGACCCCTTTAGTTCCCGATTGCTCCAGGGTACTGAATGGGAAAGCCAGTCATTGGAAGAGATAATGAACCTTCTTAGCTTCCTGATGTCCTGGGAGAACATGGGTCATTCCAGAATACGATAAGCCAGGGAATCCTACTTGTTTGGTGGACATGGATCACATCCACCCTACCCACCCCAGAGTCATTTTCTCCCACCTTCATCCACTTTCCAAATATTTCCTGCAGCTTGATTCACCCTGTTCATTTCACAATAAGCAACTGCTCTACTAAAGATTACAGAAGTCAAGCCGGGGCTGCAGCTCACAGAGGATTTGGATGAGGCTGGGGTAAGTGAGGGGTTTGCTCTGGTTGGCAAATTTAAGAGGGTGCCAAGCGTTTCAATGAGCGAGATAAATAATATTTTAAGGAAGCGTTCATTAAATGAACAGTTGCAAAAACCCCATGGTGAACAAAAAAAATCAGAATTTTAAGTACAGGCAAAATGTGCCCCACCTTTGTAGGACCCTACCCCACCTCTGAAGGGCAACAGAAACATTTATTAACCCAAGTTCAATGAAGCCCTTTCACTAAAGAAGCCAAAATGGTAGATCTATAGGACAATGAGTTTGAACTTAGAACGCCAATGAAAGTACTGGAAATAAAAAATCACAACGATGGTTGGTAAAGTTATAAACATGTATGTTTGGAATGAGATGCAGATTTAGATCATTATTTAGAGAATTCTGGAATAACAGCAAAGGGGTAATAGATGGCTTTAGATGTCCCCCATCATGGAAAAGCAAATCTATCTTTAAAATTGTCTTAGGAATCACTTCGGTTCTTTGGTTTTTCTTTATGAACAAAAATGGCCTTTGGCATGTCCCCCCTCGTGAGACCGTGCTAGCAATCCAGGCAATGTTTTCCTGGAGCGGCAGATAATTAAGTTGCTTTCCTTATTTCTCAGAGGCATCGGCTCCATGTTAATAACACGGACGCCATGCAGTCCATCAAATGATGGATGAAGAAACAGGCACAAACTACCCACAGTCATTCTCTGAGGAAATGGCGGGCTGGCTTACCAGGTGACGATTGCCTCCGGTGAAGCGAAGAACTCGCAGTGTAAGAAAGCACTGTAGCCAACCACCGTCGCGTAATTTTCTTCATCTTTGGTTTGGATCAATGGAACAACATCTATTGGCAAGTGACACAAATACCGTTTTAGAGCTTCCCGAAAGAAGTACATGCGGATGACATTTTCCTACATCTCAGCCGAATTCATAAGAGTGGAAGAGATTTGACGATTACAGGACATGTTCTTGAATGACAAATGTAGCCACATTCAACACGTTTTGCAAGTATAGTTTCAGTGTGGCATCAAATGCCCACAGCAAAGGAGAATGAGGCTCTGATCTTTTCCCCCATGTTTTCTGTGTCCAGAATTCAATCGGGACGTGTAACCAAGACCCTCAGCCATTTTTCTTCTGCAGACAGCAGATCCCCGCCTGCTGCTCTCAGGTGCGCTCACCTACAACATCGATGTTGGCATTGGCCAGGATGGTGCCGTGGACGTTGGAGGCTTCGCACTGGTACACGGCAGTGTGATTGGGCTGCAGGTTTGTGAAACTGATTTCCCTGGGGAAGACCACATCACCAGCGAATGGATGGTCTGAAAGGAATTAAAGAATGTCAGCATGATAAAGGATAGGGCATGAAACATTTATCCGCCGTTTATTAAACGTGTCATACAGTATTTATATTTTAAGGCCATTTTAGGGTGAATTATAGTTCACCAAGAAAGCCAATTCTTTAAAGCCTTCTCCGCGTGCATCACGGATGTTTCTTTTCAGGACCTTTCGCATTTTCTTCATCCAAGTTAAGGTTTATTATCAATGTCTGCTGGTCTGCGGCTCCTTGCCCCTGCATAGCCCAATTCATAATAGGATTCTAGGTTCTCTGTTTGTTTCTGACACGGACAGACCCTTGCTTACTCTTCTGAACCTAGGTGCGGATTCCACCCAGCACAAATCACCGCATCAAATCATCCTCATCTTTCCAATCTACCGACACTGGTTGCTGTTTTTCCTTCCTTGACACCTTTATTTCTGTTCCACTGCTCCGTCCTTCCGGAATTTTCAGACGTACACTGCTCATTCCTCGTATCTTTACTGTTTAACTCCCTCAATTACAATAGCTCACATATTTCATTTTCCCAGGATGAAACCCCTTCATGAGACCAGAGCTAGGTCTTCAACATTTGGGTAGCAACACCTATCCCCACTTCCGATCTTGGGACTATCTTTCGGAAATGAACATGACTGATATTTTTGATGCATTTATTAAGGAACTAAGAGCTCTGCTGGATGGGCCCCCCTGCACAATCTCATTGACTCTGCTTAGAATTCCCTAAAACAACATGTACAAGGCCATTAACATTTTTAATTTTCTCATTTATTTTTGGCAGGGGCGGATGGGGAGCGGGAATTGAACTCAGGAGCACTCAAGCGCTGAGCCACATCCCCAGCCCTATTTTGTCTGTTATTTAGAGACAGGGTCTCACTGAGTTGCTTAGGATCTCGCTAAGTTGTTGAGGCTGACTTTGAACTTGCAATCTTCCTGCCTCAGTCTCCAAAGCCGCTGGGATTATAGGCGTGTGCCATGGCACCTGGCCTACGAGGCCATTTCAGAAGTTAGATTCAAAGCACATGAATGATTGATACATCCCACAGCATTTGGTAACATTTCTGCCTCCAAATCCCAAGTCCTTGCTAATTCATGGACAGTGGAAAGGAAAACATTGGAGAGGAATGTTCGGTGGGTGTGTGTGGGGGTGTGTGTTTGTGTGCACACGCGAAAAAATGTACTTTAAAAGTCACTACAAGATCACAATCTATCCCATTTTTTTCTCTCTTATTGGATCCATGATGCTAAATAATGACATAGTACGTTTTAGGTTATAGAAAACACTGAATAGTACATATTCAAATGGGAATCTTTACTTATCCTTTCCTCCCTGGGAGTCCTAAGTGAATACATTTTCCACTTGACCATGAGCTGTGGGACCAGTGCGTGGTCTGTGTGTTTGAGCTGTCGGACCCCCTGCTCCTGAAGATATGCTCTACCCAGAGAACAGAAAAAAAAACTGAAAAGATTACGTTGGGTAACCATTTTATTCACCAAAGATTACTCTGAGGTTGGTGGAAAACGAGTCCCTGAGTGATGGCTGGGATCCTTTCCCAGGATCTGTGGCTACATTACCTAACCTGGAATAAGAACATTGTCGACGTGATTAAAGTGAAACATTTTGAGTCACGGAATTTATCCTGAATCATCCAGACAGGCCCCTGTAGCTGCACAGTTTCTTAAAATCAGAAACGCTTTCGGGGCTTTGGCCAGAGGCACTTGAGATTATAGAAAAGTGGCCGGTCAGATGCAAGACTGCTGGTGTTGAGGCTGGAGGAAAACATCTTGGGGCTGCCCACAGGAGCTGGAGAAGGCCACAAAAGGGATTCTCTCCCTGATCCTGCTGACAGTGAGACTCATGCAACAGTGGACATGATCTTTAGGGGCAATGTATCACCTGTCACTTGAGACGGGGCAAGATGAACAGCTCTTCCAAGTTCTTGAAGGCTGAACTGTCAAAGGGCTTTGCCAGGGACCGTTTCTGATCTGACCCTTCACCCCCACACCTCAACTCGGAGTTCTAAGTCTGCAGGGTTGATCCTGTTGCCCATTTAGTCCTTACCCCATCGGCCCCCTGGGCAGCTGGGAATCAACACAGTATTGCAAAAGGAAGAAAGGAGGCGATGGCCTCCCGTTTAAGTTGAACCACAATTAAACTAAACGTTCTCCAGTGTGCCTTCCAGGAAAGGACATTGCACAACATGTCACATGCTGGCCACAGCCAACAGGAGGTGGGGAGTCAAAACAAGCAAACACAGGAGTCCTATCCTAATTCAGGAAGTCTCTTGTCAATTCTGTCTCTGGTCACTTCTGTGGGAAAGAATGCAGTGCAGAGGGAGAAAGGTCACCCATTAACTTGTCCCTGGGCCCCAGCTCTGGCCCCAAATTGATGGGCCTGTGTTTTTAAGTAAGTGTTCTGACTTCTGTGAGTCTTGGTCACTATGTCTGCAAACTGATGGGTCATGAAAATCTATCTTTCAAAGCTGTTCTAGGCCCAGCATGTGAAAAGATAAAGTCTGTATTCAATAATAGAATTCACTTGGGCTTAATTTTGAAATGAAAGGGAGAAAGAAGAGGAATTCCTAAAAGCGTGAGTGGAGAGAGGATTTGGATCCTGTTGTCAGGTTACTGGCCTCACCCCCCCCCCAACTATGGACGGTTGGGACCTGTTTGCTGGGGAACAAGGAGAACTGTGGTCCAGGAGCCGTGGAAGAAAGCCTGGGCCTGGGTTCTGCAGGGGAGGCTGGGGTTCCAAGCCTGCCAGGACTTCACTGTGCGACTCTGTTTATTCTCAGTCGTGATCTATCCATCATGAATGAACCAGTTGGCTCTACCTTGAGAATAAATCCAGAAACTAACCAGGATGTCCAGTCTGGCCCGAGTCCCCAGCATCTTTCACACGGTCCCCTTCTGGAGTGACATAATCAGAGTCCCCATTCAGAGACTGGAAATCTCCCTCGGTAAAATGCAAATAATAGCATGATACTCTTCTGCTCAGAATCCTGCATGAGCTACACATCCATGGCCAAGGAAATCCCAGGTCCCTACTTGGGCTTTCCCTGAACCTCTGCACTGGCCCTCCGCTGCTGGCTGACCTCACGGCCCAGGACTGCCCATTGGTCAGTCACAGGGGGCTCCTTTCTTTCCTTCACAGGCCAAACACCCCTCTTCACATTCACGGACCTCGCCAACCTGAAAGCACGTTCACAGGTTCTACAGGGCTGAGTTCCTTATCTCCTTCAGGGCTCTGCTCAAAGGCCTGGGAACACAGGAATCTTATGATCTGACCTGATGCAGCAACCCTCCCTGGGACCTGAGGTCCTATGTGCTCCACTGATATCCAGCTATCTGCTACCTTAGTGCAGCATACCCATGTGCTCCTCTGGCTGCTGACCACTGCTCCCCACCAGAACATCAGAACCAGGAGAGAAGCATTGGGTTTTTCTCAGTGGTAGATCCCAAGCAATAAGCCATAAGATCCCGTGCACCAGAGGGACTCCGTAAATATTACCGGAGACAAGAATCTGTTAAATATGAATAGTACGACCTCTCTAAGGTTCTTCTGATAATCTGTGAGTGCCTTTCGCAAAGAGAGCAGCTTTCAAACATGAAATTTTATGATTTTATGTTTTAATCTGCATTTCTTATTTGGCAGTCTTTATCCATTAAAAACTGTTCTTATTTCCTTTTGAAATGACAACTCCAAACCTTGTTTCACTTCTTCTTCTGTTCTCTAAAGAGATAAAGGGGGGGGCGGGGAATCTCACATTTGAAGACATTAAGGATGGAGGGCTAAAGTTTCCTGGGTGTCCTATGAAATGATAATAACCAGGCACACTTGGGGCGGTTGGTTAGGTGGCAGCTTCTGTGCAGAGCACCCTGTGACTTGTTTTATTTCATCCACACAGTAGCCCCATGACTCACTGCTATTTTTTTTTCTCTCCTTTTTCCTGGTGAAAGAACCGTTTCTAAGAGGCTTCCTCATACGCCCAGTTGCATAACTGGTCACGGAGCCACCAGGCTCAGGTCTCAGAAATCAGACTGCTTCCAATCAGGCCATTCCTGATTTCCTGGTCCATCTGTCCTGCTCCTCAGCCACTTCCCAAGTCCCTTTGACACAGAGCCAGGGTTTCTGCAATGGGGCCCCACGGGCTGTTTCAACTCACTGTCCACTGGGGAGCCGTTGACTCTCCACTTGATGGTGGGCTGCGGCTCTCCCGCCGCCTCACAGAGCAAGATGCCGCTGTCCCCCGTGCTGTACACGCGACTCTCGGGCTTCTTGGTCCAGTGTGGAGGTTCTGGAAACAAAGAGAAGAGGTTTCCAGAGATCTGTTACAAAAAGGTCCCCAAATGCTTAGGCCTGTAGTACTCGGAAGCACCAGCAGAGGGCAGACACCACCAAGCCGATCACAGTTCTTTTTTTTTTTTTTTTTTGGTACATTATTTTGTTCTGTGAAGCAAGTTGGGCGTTGTTATTTGTGCAATCTGTTGTGTGCGTGTGTTTGTGTGTATGTGTGTACTTAATCTGGATGCTAAGCATGTATAATAAATCAACATGCTAAAAATAGTTAAATGCAACCACTTCATTTAGCTACACAAGCATCTATCTCACTAGCAGAAAATAAAGGAAGAATAAACATGGGACGTTCCTGAAGTGCTGACTCCAGCTTATCCGCAAGCTGCCGCAGAGCCTCTGAAAAAGGCTGATATTTTAGGAATACGCTTGGGGAATATTTCAAAATCCTAGTATTTGAATTTTCAACATTTGAATTATTAATTAATGATTTCATAGCATTTATGTATCTCTGCCTATTCCCATTTATCTAATTGATCTGGAAACTATTATTTTCCTAGAGATTTTGATTTTTTGAAAAGGGACAGGGAGTGAAGACGACAAGCAATCCTGGAAGAAATAAAATATGGAAATCACTGGCATCTTCCTGCGCCCTAATGCTTCACAGTAGAATTCAAAGTAGTGTTTTGGAACAAAACATTTTTCTTTAGCTCAAGTATCACCATCGTGTTTTGTCACCCTAAGAATGTGACTATGTCTTCAGCAAATACAATATTTAATGTGTGGATGGTTTGGGTGAATTTATTCTGGAGAAAACTGTGCAAAACCTGCAGGTAATAATTCTATCAGCTGTTGCTTGGATAATTCCCCCAAGACATTTTGGATTTCTGCTTCTATTTAAAAGCAAAATTTTTAAAGATATAAGTATGCAGAAAATAAAAAATAGCTTTAAAAAAAATTTTTTTGTACTTGTAGATGAATAGAATACCTTTATTTTAGTTAATATGTGGTGCTAAGGATCAAACCCAGTGTCTCAAGCATGCTAGACAAGCCCCAGCCCCGAAAAATAGCTTTTAAGTATGTATTAAGTAAGGGAGGAAGAAGGAGATTATGCAAAAATATCTATAAATTCCCCAGGACAAACAAATAAGATATAGACACACACGCGCGTGCACACACACACGTGTATATATACACAAATAAGTATGAAGTTCAAGTCTGAGCAAAAGAAATGCCTTTGGAATTATTCCATAGGGTGTGGATTTAATTGTTAAATTCCAAGCTAAACACTTGCATTCATAAATGAATCTGGAAATATTTCGTCACATAGTTTAATACACAAATTGTCTGGATTATAAACTGTGGGTCACTTTCTGAGGTAAAGGGTGTGTTTGTTTTGCATTTTTCAATGTCATTATTCTCTTTTTCTTTTCTTTTTTGGGGGGGTTCTTTTATTCAACCCCAATAAAATAAAAAATTTGGAAGTTAAAAAAAAAATTCTCCAAGAACCTTATGTTTATGTTTATTGTACTGTGTCTACTGGTTTCAGACCACGTAAAAATAAAGGTCATTCAAATAATGGCATTTCTCTAAATCTTCATGTGTAATAAAATCCGGGTTTCTATTTCTGTTCTTATTCTACAAACTTCATTAATCATCTCCTGGAGTCTGAATTAAGGTCCATTACTCTTAGGGGAAAAAAAGAGGTCTTAAGGTTTCACCTTATCCAGCCATTTCAACTTATGCACAGAAGCTGAGCTTTGGAGAATTTGTCTAAATTTCCCAGAATCATTGGTAAAAGGATCCTCATCTCCTGGTCCTGCCAAGGATCTGTAGACTTAGCCTATGCATAAGCAGCGCTGAGACTCTGAAGCCCTGGGGATGGCTTCTGGTTCACTGCTATCTTACCAACGTGGACCAAAACCAGGTCCCAGGTCAAATCAATTGACCAGCTCTTGCTTCATGCTTCTGAATAAATCCAAGCTCCCCAAAAATCTATCCACCGACTCTGGAAGTTCCACGGAGTCCGGCACAGTGGCACATGCCCGTAATCCCAGAGTTTGGGAGGCTGAGGCAGGAGGATTGTGAGTTCAAGGCCAGCCTCAGCAAAAGTCAGGCCCTAAGCCACTCAGTGAGACCCTGTCTCTAAATAAAATTACAAAAATAGGGCTGGGGAGGTGGCTCAGTGGTCAAATGCCCCTGAGTTCCATCCCTGGTACCAAAAACAATATGAAAAAGAAGCTCCAAATAAACTTGACCCTTCTTCCTAAACCTTGTGAATGCTTGGATGTTGCGATGTGGTCTTCACATGCCTCCTTCCCCTGCAGAAGTAAGCAGCTCCTGAGCAGAGGAGGACTCCGTCACGCACACTGAGGGAGACTTAGCTAGGGAGACACTGCGCTCCCTTGCAGAGGGGCTGAGACACTCAGAACTGAAGTCCCTAGGGAGACGTAAGAGACTAGTGATCTCCTGAGACCTGGGAGGAAAGTCACTCTTCCTTGGATCTCCTCTGCTAGGCGTGAGGTCTGCTCAGAACAGACATATGTGGAGTGCTTTCAAGTGAAAGCAAGGATCCGTCTCCAAAGAGACTTCAATGGAAAAAGACAGAAGCCACCTGGGCGAGTCGGCAGGCACTGCACCCTGGTGGCCCATGCTCGCCATTGCAGGCAGTTACAGAACACACCGGCTTCTTGCTAATTAGTTCACTGCAGAGGATACAGTGGGGCAGGGGGGTGTTAGCTAAGGGATGGGAAATTGGGGCAGTGGAGGTGCAGGCCAGAGGCAAGCGGGGACAGAGAACAAATAGATGCTCTCCAAAGCTCAGAACATGCAACTGTATTCCTGAAGGATAAGGCCAAGTTTAAAGGGTGAGATTAAACTAAAAAACAAACAAAAACATTGAATCCAGAAAAGGATAACATGACATGGAGATGCATGAAGATGAGATAGGAGGGTCTCAAGTTCAAGGCCAGCCTGGACAAATAATGAGTTTCTATCTCAAAATACACAGTAAAAAGGGCTGTGGATGTAGCTCAGTGTTAAAGCACCCTGTACCACCAAAAAAAAAAAAAAAAATGAGAGAGAGAGAGAGAGAGAGAAGAGAAGAGAAGAGAAGAGAGAGAGAGAGAGAGAGAGAGAGAGAGAGAGAGAGAACAAAAAATAGCAACCCTGAAAATTTGGGGGGGGGGATTATTGAATGTCATTCTTTAATTTATTAACCTGAAATGTATGACAAACAGATGAAACTTTATGTTGTAACTTTACCCAATTTAGCATAAGTGTAACCAAAAACAATTAGATAATACATTTGTTTTATGCTACTGAAAATAGGGGTGCAAATATCTGATGCCAAGAATGTAAGAAGGAAGGTAGTAAGAGGTATTTATCACAAGGAGGAGAATAAGACAAGAAGTTGACACCTGTCAATCATATGACAGCTAGTATTTTCTTACTGAAATTTTATCATAGGTTCCCACTAAATATTTATATCCCAGTAAGTCAATTGTTAGAGTCATCAAATTTGGGTTTAACTGCAACTCTTTAGAAAAAAATATGTATATATAATACCCACACACACACACACACACACACACACACACACACACACTGGGAATTACACCCAGAGGTGCTTAAACGCTGAGCCACATTTCCAGCTATATGTGTGTTTGAGTGTGTGAATTATTTAGAGTTAGGGTCTCCCTAAGTTGCTGAGGCTGGCTTTGAACTTGTGATCCTCCTGCCTCAGCCTCCCAAGCCACTGGGATTTCACGCATGTGCCACTGCACTCAGCTAGAAATAGATTTTTTTATTTGAAATTAAGATTTCCTTAGGAATACTAATGACTTAGCTGGATATGGTGGCACATACCTGAAATCCCAGCAACTCGGAAGGTTGAGGCAGGAGGATCACAAGTTCAAAGCCAGCCTCAGCAATTTCGCAAGGCCTTAAACAATTTAGCAAGACCATGTCTCAAAATAAAAATAAATAAATAATAATAATAAGATAAAATAAAAGGGGCTGGGAACATGGCTTAGTGCTTAAGTGCCCCTGGATAAAATCCCCAGTACAGAATAAAAGAAAGAAGGATTACTTTGGTAACCAATTACATTGGTTATGATTGAAATGCATTAGATTTCACAGTGTCCTTTTAAGACTCAAGCCCATCTTGGATTATATTATAAATGCATAATTATTAATAAAATCTTTTGAATAAAATCTCTAGAATTCAAAAGGCTTCACTGATTCAGAGGCTGACAACACAAAAACTATTAGTGGGGGTTTATTTTTAAGTGATCATTTGAAGTTATTGGGGTCATAGTTTATTTCTAGAACACTCTACATTCCCTTCCAGTGTCTCTTCTTAGACAGTGTGTAAATGCCAGTATCCTGGACACCTAGAAAGTATGGTGAAGACATTTACTTCCTATTATAGAATCTGAACTGCGTAAAAGTTTTGGATTTGAGATGTTGTCGGTGAAATGATAAGTGCATAGATTTGGATTGTGTTTTGTAATAGAGAAGAAATATCACAAGTAGAGAGAAAACAGTACAAGCTAGACTTCTACAAACCCTAGGGTGTGTTCAGAATGGGCTAGATTTTTAGAGTTCCCAGTACAATTACCCTTTCCTGTAATGGCAAGCCCTTGATATTTAATTTGGGTTTCTAAACAAGAGAAGGAGGAGGAGGAGGAGGAAGGGTGGGGGGAATGATGTTGATGACTAAAAGTGAACTCCTCCTTCCACAAGATTAATGAAAGTTATATTTACTGCTTTCACCCTTTTAGGGACAAAAGGGGGTCGATGAGAACCATTCTCTCTTTGCATGCATGCTTAAAGAGAAATTCTAAAAATATACTTTCCAGAGCACCTTAAGTAGTTTCTCACTAAAGAGAAAAATGATCAACTCTTCCTCATAAACACATTATTTACATCTCGACAGTGCTACTAGCTGTTTTGGGAGTGGCGAGAACAATTTTATTTTTTTCCAGGAAACCTATATTCCTTTGGAGTCCGACAGTTGACATTTTTAATTGCATAATTAATTTTTACATCTTTGGCTTATTTATTTATTTATTTTGCAAGCCTTGCGTTTCTTTTTGAAAGCTTCTTCGGTCTTAACAGTCAAGAAATCCGTGGCCAGATTGTTAAAATATTCAGCTACCGTAGTGATGTTCCAGCCATCTGGAAGGATTTTCTGAAACACTCAGCAACTCGGAGTTGCTACAGCTAACAATTACACATGTCTGATTGGTGGGGTTAGTGTGTGCTGGGGAGGAGAGGGGGTTGTAGAAAAATATCCTTGTAGTAGGACGGAGCCCTATCATATAGTCGTTTCAGAGGATGATTAAACTTAGAGGCAAAATAAATCTTTCAAACACTTCCGCTGTGAATATCACGGTGAAGGGTTTATTGTCAAAGGCGTATATCTCTGATGCCACAGGGTGAACACAGTGCATGGTATTAGACTTCCTCCTATAGTATTAGACTTTCTCCTCTTGCTAAACCCAAGAAAATGGAATTCTCATCTTTGGTTTTTTGTCCTTTCTATCACAAGTTACCATATCCACTGTGGAGAGGGTTTAGAGACACAGTATTGCTCGGAACAAGGTCATTACAAAATCAATTATCTTAACATTTGCTCGTGCGTGGGATTTGTGTCTGAGTCTCTCTTTCTCCACATTAATTAAAACAACAGACCATTACCTAGGTGTTCCTTGGGCAAACTGAAGCTCTCAGAGGTGAACTTTATTGGAATATTAATGGCAGCCCTGGAGAGAAGATCTAAATGGTAGCCTGGGAGAGCAATCCCCCTTTCAATGGCTTAGCCTACGTGGCACTAAATAAGTACAAATGCAGTAATCATTCCATTAATCTGATCAATGCAGTCAACTAAGCCATAGATGGAAGGCCTCAATGTGGTCAGACCCACAGAAAATAGTCTGCATTGGTCAAATTCACAGCAAGATCAGATGATTTACACTTCTGTCAGCGGGGACAGCCCCAATCGCCACATTGTGTCGCTTCCTTCTTTATTAAGTGGGGTCATCACTGCCTACTTATCTCTGCAAATACAACAAAAGATGATAAAACTGACCCAGCTATCCTATTCCTCGATCTATACCCAAAGGACTTAAAAACAGCACACTACAGGGACATAGCCACATCAATGTTTATAGCAGCACAATTCACAATAGCTAAACTATGGAGCCAGCCTAGATGCCCTTCAGGAGATGAATGGATAAAGAAACTGTGGTATATATACACAATGGAATATTATTCAGCATTAAAAGAGAATAAAATCATGGCATTTGAAGGTAAATGGGTGGAGTTGGCGATTATAATGCTAAGTGAAGTCAGCCAATCCTAAAAAAACAAATGCCAAACGTTTTATCTGATATGAAGATGCTGATTCATAATGGGGTTGGGGAGGGGTGGGAGAATGGAAGGATTAGAGGAACTCTAGATAGGACAAGGGGGAGGGAGGGGAAATGGGGGTGGGAAAGATGGTGGAATGAGATGGTCATCATTACCCCAAGTACATGTATGAAGACATGACTGGCGTGACTTTACTTTGTGCACAACCAGAGATATGAAAAATTGTGCTCTCTCTCTATAATGTGGATTGTAATGCATTCTGCTGTCAAATCAACACATTAGAATAAATGTTAAAAAGATGGTAGAACCTCCGCTGATCCATACAGCTTGGATTTACAGAGTTGACTCCTGTACACTGTGTGTTTTGTGCTTTTGAATAAGAATGAACCTGCGTAGCATACATATTATACTATCTATTCTTACATCCCCGGTACCAGCATGCTGAAAACCATCAGAACTCAAGATCCGTACAACATATGGAACGTCATCCATGCAACATATTGAGAACCATCTCAACTCAAGATACGGGTGAAAAAAAAAATGTAGAATTTAGGGTAACGCCATGACAATTTGCCTGGCACGTTCCTTTGGTGAAGAAACTAACTTGCGGAGAAGTGAAATAAAGACACCGAAAATTACAGGCGCCATGAGACGCCAAGTCCAAGTGTGGTTCCAGGCACCATGGAGGATGGTGTGTATCCTAATCTGTCATCTTGGACCTTCCTTCTCATACGGTTTAAGGTTGGGCCTGATCACACCGAGGTCACTATAGAAGTCATTTGTCACATAGACAATGTAGGAGAAGAGGTTTAATGAATACATGCATAAATCACCCACTGAGCTCATCCCTGTCTGTCCTTCACGTGAGACCTTTTCTTGTCCTTTTGTCCCTCCCACGTGTCCCTCCCACTCTGGTTTGGCAGGTTCATGACAAACTAGAGTGACTGATGTGTATTATAATTCTGTGCCCAGGCTCAAGTAAAAAGCTGGGAATCTTCACCTGTTTTAACACTCCCAGGACATAGTCCAAGCCCCACTCATGGTAGGAATCTACCATTCTCTGTTTCAAGTAGACACTAAAAACCATCCGGGGAAATGTACCTTCGACGATGACCCGAAAATTGTGGCTGGCTGTTCCCAGGTCATTGCTGGCCGTGCAGCGGTAACTCCCTTTGTCCTGGTAGGAGACGTTCTCGATCTTCAGGGTCTTGCCATAATTTTCTTTTGTTTCTCTTCCCTTTGGTAAATCGCCAGCCAATTTCGTCCATTCCACCTGTGGAGT